CGTCAAAACATACCTAACCAGCATATGCTGTTTTTTTCAACAGGGTGGTGACACCATTTTTTCTTCGAGGGGTTCCCACTACCACTCCTGCCATAACTATCATGACTTCACCCACTATAACAACAGATAACACCGCTAACACACAGCTAACACACAGACATCACTACCACCACATTGCACCCAGGTACCAACACAACTATGCGCTCCAGCACAGGTACACCTATGCTAAGCTAACTAGACTTGCTAAATCATCTGGTGTGCTGTGTAGCATGCAGTTTATTTGAAATGGCATACCATCACAGCACACTATAAAATATTCATGAATCTAGCACTAATCACATGGAATTTACTCAAGGATGCATGCTTTATGCTATTGGACACTTTTGGATAATAGCTATAAGTGAAGTGACATGTGGCCAAGTATGGTGACCCATACTTGGAATTAGTGCTCTGCATTTAACCCATCCAAAGTGCGCACACACACAGCAGTGAACACACACACACACCGTGAACACACACCCGGAGCAGTGGGCAGCCATTTATGCTGCGGCGCCCGGGGAGCAGTTGGGGGTTCAGTGCCTTGCTCAAGGGCACCTCAGTCGTGGTATTGAAGGTGGGAGAGAGCGCTGTACATTCACTCCCCCCACCGACAATCCCTGCCGGTACGAGACTCGAACCCGCAACCTTTGGGTTACGAGTCCAACTCTCTAACCATTAGGCCACGACTTCCCCCTAGATAGAGAGCTGCAGTGTTGACGTTAGTTGACTCTGGTTTCCTCAACAAAAAACCCAACAGGATTTAACTTTCGGACTTTGGATTATTGCAGGAAATAAGATCTGTGACCAACAAAACTTTACGATTCCTACATGTTTTGTTCATCGTGATAATCTTCACTAATCAACACAACTTTTATCAATTTTGAAGCCTGAACACAATCGGCAGAAGTAAAAAGCTAACGTAGGCTATAAACGAACTACACTACGGTCGCATGACTTCAGGATCACCACCATTAAACTTTGACAACCTTTAATTTAAAAACCATATTCCCTGAAAGTTTGAGTTAGAATAGTTTGCAAGAGTGCGATCATAAACACATTATTATAAAGTAGTGAGTAGATGATGACGTTTAATGTCCGTGACAACCTCCATAATCCCATTTAGCCACTTGTTTGCCTTTGTAAAGCCAAGTAAAAGCTTCTTAAAATCACAAAGAGGTATAACTCAAGTACTTTTTGTCGTAGAATGAAACATGAAAATATCTTGAGCTTTTGTTAACCACAGACCTTATTTCAGGCATTTAATCAAAAATAAATTTCAAAAACCCACTGACTTTGGGATGATGGAACCAGAAGTGCTAAAAAGCTAACTTGTTCTGGGTTTTGGCCTGCAAAAATATGTCATCCCTGCAGCACTCTATAAGGGTGTGCACTAATGTTTGGGAAAACACATTAAGCATGTAATTCAAAATGATTGCATTTGTGAAATTCCAGCAGTTTGTGTGTATCATTCTGGTTAACCCACTTTATGTGTACCTTAAGTATCCCAAAAACATGTTTTTCTCTCCTCTTGTGTGCTCCAGGGGGACAGCAGGTGAAAACAGGTGAGTTCAGTTCGGGCGATATGGCGGCTGTAGGGGCCTCTTTGGCTGTGGTTATCGTTCTCTGCTTGGTTTGCATTGGACTGATGGTGCACCGAATCAAGGGCCATAATGCAGACTGGAAGAAGATTTCCGAGGCTAGCGTCTTCCGTAGCACAGTGAGTTTCCATGCAGAAAACTGTCAAACAAATAAATGTTTGAGGTTAAATACAAGACAAGCTCTTTTGAGAATGAACTCAATTCATGTCAATTTCATACCGAATTGAAAGATTGGTAAAACCCTTCTCGTTGAATTGTTAATAAAACCATTCTTTTATGTAACTGGCATATTGAATTTAATAATTCATTAAAACATATTTTCACAAATTGTCAGATTGAACAGTACAATCTCATGTATTTGCACTGAATTGAAACATCCTTAAAACGCTGCTTACATTAGTTGGTAAAAGCATTCTCATGTAAATATACACCGAAATGTGCAAAACTTCGTAAAACATTTCTTACATAAGTTTCCGATTTAATTCAATGTTCATAAAACTATTCTTGTGTAAAATTTCAGATTAAACCGAATATTCACACTTAAATGGTCACCTTCACTGTTTATAAATCTATACTTAGGTTAATTTTTCCAATTTAATAGTTAATAAAAGCGTTCAACGTAAATTGCCACATTTAATCAATCAGTTGTAAAAGCATTTTAAGATAAAATGTCACATTCAAATTGTAATAATAGATAAATCACATTCATTGTTTATAAAACTATTCTTAAGTAGTTTTTTTTTTCTGATTGAATCAAATAGTTTGTAAGTTAAATTGTCAGATCACTGGTAAAACCAACATAAATTGTCATTCAAATGTTCGTAAAACTCGTAAATTGTCACATTCCAATGTTTATGAAACCATTCTTGCATTAATTTTTTGCTTTAATTAAACAGTTTGTAGAAGTATTCTCACGTTAACTGTCACATCGAATTAAATCGTTTGTAAAACTATGCCTGCATTTTTGGATCGAATTGAATAGTTCACAAATGTATTCTCACGTAAATTCATATTGTATCAAATTTTGTCACATTCCAATGTTTATCAAACCATTCGTTAATTTTTGGGTTGGATTGAATCGTTTTTTTTTTTAAGTTTTCTCATTTTAATTTATGAAAGAATTAAATCGTTCATAAAACCACGAATGTAAATTCTAAATAAACGTATTTGGTCACATTCAATGTTTCTAAAAGCATTCCTGTGTAAAAGTTCAGAACTGAACAGTCTGTAAAAGTATTCATAAATGATCGCCTTCAGTGTTTAAAAAAACAATATTTTGTTCATTTTTCTAATGGTTCATAAAAGCATTCTATATAAATTGCTGCACTGAATCAAATCAGTTGTAAAACCAAATTGTTACATGTTCATAAAACCGCTCGTTCAGATTGAATGGAATGGTTTGTAAAAGCATTCTCATGTAAACTGTCACATTTCAGTGTTTATAAAACCATTCTCACATTAATTTTTGGAGTGAAATGAATAGTTTGTAAAAGCATTCTCAAGTAAATTCATATTGAATCAAATTCTTGCATAATTCGTCACATTCAATGTTAATGTTAACACTTTATATATCTAGACCACATTTGAGAGTATTTACTTACATACTTTTTTTAAATTATGACATTTAATTGTTCATAAAACTACAAATGTAAATTCATATTGAATCAAATTCTCATTCTCATATTCAATGTTCATAAAACCATTATTACATTACTTCAAACTTTATAATGACAATTTTAGGTGAAATATTCCATTAATGTTAATATTTTCTCTATATCTACAGCATATTTATGAGAGAATTTTTTCTTTCTGCAGTTTGGTGGAGGCTCGGGCGGTCCTAAAGAGGGTGTGCAGTACTGCAATGAGGGCTTCCAGCACGATGGTGATTCTGGAAGTGTGAACACTAAGTTAGCTGCAGACCTGGAGAACAAACTGGAGTCCGGGCTGAAGCCACAGCAGAGACGCAGGTCAGCGCAGGACAAGACGACCCCCAGCGCCATTCTCCAGACCACCAGCGGCCCTCCACCCGACTCCAGCAGCCTGGCAGGTTCAGAAACCATCGACGGCGAGAAGGAAGTTAAACCGATCCTGACCAAAGAGCGGCGCAATGAGGAGGGATACAAAGCGGTTTGGTTTAAGCAAGATATCGACCCCAGCACCAAAGAGGAAGTGGTCATCATTCCCGACGCTGGTGAAGCGGATGGAGGCCGTGAGGACGATGACGACATTGAGGATGAGGACAACCTAAGGACTGACATGGATTCGGACGATGAGGAACACTTTTAACACTTTAGGACAGTAGGAGCTTTCAAAGATTCATTATAAGTTAATTTCTGTGTTTTAAAGTCTATACAAATGTTTTCCTTTTTCCTATTACTTTCTGTTAACAAGTCTGTAAATATGGTGCACAAAATGAATTTAATTTTCAGTTTCTAGCATGAAAGGTCAACGTGAAATCAAAATTGACCCTGTTTGCTTTCTAAATATATGTTCTTGGTTTTTATTGTGAATGATTGATCAGTGTACATTATTGTGAAGAAATTAATTTTTTTCAATATCGCTCAGAAATACATTAGATAATGTATGTAAAATGGGTTGTAAACTGTGTTTCACGTTGACTAAGTGCTGTGTACAAAAATACTTTTATTAACAGTAAACAATTTACAATGTAAATTGTTTAATGCCAGTTCTTGGTAGAAATTAATTTACTGTAAAACGTGGAGAAAAAAAAACACACCCAATAAACAATAATTACTTAAACCTGGTGTCATTTATTCTGTCACCAAACTGAATTTCAAATAATGTTTTTTTGCCAATGTTTAGACTTTTTTGAAAAAAACAATCAACTTCATGGTTTACTTATAGTTGACCGTATATTAAGAGAAAGCATTTTAACATTGAAATGGCATAATTTGTGGCCTGTATAACGAGACAGTTGCTATAACAACCTTGTGACGTGAACTGTTTATTTGTGTGTTTGTGACGTTGCAGTGGACTGCTGCCCTTTCACATAATCATGCACAATGATCATAAATTCTTCTATAGCAACTTAGATAAGATTTAATGATCAACCTGAGAACTGTGATCCATCTGTGAATGCTGTATTATTAGTTTGCATGTTATTATCCACACCACAACGAAACACATTGGAACAGATCTTTACAAATGAGTCTGACAAAATCTGTCTTCAAGGGTCATATTTCACCACCACAAAACAAGAACTATTTTGTTTAAAGAAAATATGGCCCGTTTTTGGACCATTAAGTCCAAGCGTTTGCATTGACCTCAGACCAATGAAAGTGAATCTTAAGCGGTTCATCTTGATTATTCACTGAATGATACTTATATGCCAAAATGTCCTTTACTTCAAAAAATAATAATAATAATAATAACTTTTTTTGGGATGTACCATAGTACTATAGCACATGGTATTTTTATTTATTTTTTATATAAAGGGGGAATAGCTCCTTCAGGGACAGTGCTAACTGTGTCAAACAAAACCTGGTCTGGGGACAAAAAAAAAATTGACAAAGAAGAAATGTTAAACCAGAAGTGAACCAAGTAAATGTTGCCATGACAGCAAGTCTGCACCAGGGATATTTAAAAACATTTAAACATAAAAAAAAAGAAGATATATATTTTTTTATTCATTTAAATTTGGTTTAACTTAATATACTAAAATAACTAACACTGAAATAAAATGTTATAAAAACAATATAGATGTTAAAAAAGAGATGGTTTCTTCAGATTCCAACAAATTGCAATCAATTCTGAACATTTTACACGTTAATTAGACGCCCTCTACTGGAGAAACTAACAACGTGCTACATACAAAAAATATATAAGAGGTCAAGCAACAGATTGAGTTAATCCAAATTTCACACAAAGTTCTCATGGCCTACATGACTGTGAAAGAAGTCACACGAGAAAGAATGAGATTTTAGCTGAAGACGCTTGTGGGTGGCATCTGTATTGATACTAAGTTGCTCTTCTAGGCCACATGGCCTTCAAACATGGTCTTTTGCTAAAAAATAATGAGGTAAACACACTGAATAATCACTTGTGACATGTTTTGAAGCATGCTAGTTGGCAGTCCGCCACCCTTAGGAGACAGAACCATACAGCCAGTTAATGAGGAGACCATGGGAAAGGAGTTCGGGAGTGTTGGGAGGAGAACACCCGCAATAAGATCACTGTTTGGAAACCATTTAAAAATGTGAACCGTGAGTGAGATGGTCAGATGCTCTGCAGGCATCTCGGCTTTGTTGTCTTCTTGCAATAAAGTCACATTTCTAGACTTGCAAGACCCTACAGAGGTCAGTGAACACGGCTGCTAAGATCGCCTGCACCTCTCTCCTCCATCCTGGACTACTTCCTTGCACAATGTTTTGCAAAGCCACCAGCATCATGAAGGACCCCCACCAACTCTTCACACAGTCTCTTCCAGCTCCTGCCATCAGGAAGACGGTAGCGGAGCATCACAGCCCACTCTGCCAGACTACTCAACAGCTTCTTCCCGCAGGCTGTGAGAGCCCTCAATTCCAACCAACCCACTTCCCTCCGAACCCCATCAAACCCGTACATCCTGAACCAGAAACATTTACACTCCCACCCCATCCCACCATCACTCCTACCCCTCATCCCACTCACACTTAACCTCTTTCTGCTACTATTGTCCCCCAAGGCTGTCCATTTCATGATTGTTCAAAATTCTCATGTGCAATACTATGCGAGTCGACTACTCCTATAGGTGGATGGCTTTTCTATAATATTGCACATTCCTGGTTTGCACTGTACCACATGTTTGTTTTTTTTTTGCTTCTTGTGTTAATTCAAGTATGTCCAAAGTTCTATTCATGTAAAGTATTTATGTGAAGTATGTGTACAGTTAGGTGTATAGTATATGTATTGGTAGATTACTCTGTAAATAGGTTTATATAGAGGTTATATTGCATAGATTATATAGCATATGTACATTTATATGGGTTATATTGTATATATTTCTTTTTTATAGGATTATATGTCTGTCTATATGTAGCACTGTGGTCCTGTGACACACAACATTTCATTCCCTTGTGTGTCTCTCCACATATAGCGGAATGACAATAAGGTATGCAAAAGGTGTGCAATATGCAGCCTGGTCTCAACAGAAGTGGGGTTTGTTTGTTTAAGTGAGTGACGTGACATGTGGCCAAGTATGGTGACCCATACTCGGAATTAGTGCTTTGCATTTTAACCCATCCAAAGTGCACACACACACACACACACACACCCGGAGCAGTGGGCAGCCATTTATGCTGCGGCGCCCGGGGAGCAGTTGGGGGTTCGGTGCCTTGCTCAAGGGCACCTCAGTCGTGGTATTGAAGGTGGGAGAGAGCGCTGTACATTCACTCCCCCCACCTACAATCCCTGCCGGTATGAGACTCGAACCCACAACCTTTGGGTTATGAGTCCGACTCTCTAACCATTAGGCCACGACTTCCCCGTTTTTTGGTGTGTGTGTAATTGGGTTTGCATGGGAATAAATTGCTTTTATATGTAAAATGGTTTTATAGTGTGTTTTATGGTAAGGATTGTGCCCCAAATTACGCAGACATGCCATGAAATTAATTTGTGTAAAATTTGTAATCAATTGACAGCCCTGTTTGGGTGTGTGTGTGTGTGTGTGTGTGTGTGTGTATGCATGATAGTGTTCTTCTCACTGTCCATTTTAATTTTGTCCGTAATGTATGTATATGTGTGTTCAGCTATGTTACTGCAGCTGGTTTCTCTCCAAAAGGAATCAGGCTGCTGGAGCTGGACGCCACACTGGCTGATGTGTTTGGGAAGACGGAGAAATTTGTTTCTATTTTAAAAATATAAAAAATTTAAAATATATATACATATAAAATGTAAGCATTTATAATAGGCCTATATATTTGTTTTAAGTCCTATAGGCCTAAATGCATATCTTAAAGGGGAAACATAAGCACTGAATGTGAATTCTGTCACATCTATAAGTTTAGCCACACTATACATATATAGATTTAGATGCAAAAATGCATGTATTTTCTATCATGTTTTAGTAACTCTTTCCCAGCAAAACACGAAATTGTCCGCGTTCTCGCTGTTATTCGCTCAGGGCGCTATTATAAATGTCCTGAATGAGTCCACAATCATCCGATCAAAAACACAGGCGAGGAAGACACAGAAACGAGCGATCTCAAATGTAAGCAGATCCATATGAAAAATAAGGCCATCATCAACAATAAACAGCATATAAATGAAAACTGCCTAATGTTACCGAGTGAAATGTCGATCCCGATAGTGGTAAGACTGTGAAGCTTTAGGGGTGTTGATGGAAGCGATCTACTGCATGTTTGCTTTGATCATAGAACTGAATATGATCCAGATGTAGGCTAGTGTTTGATAAAAATGCGATTTTCTCAGCTTTTTGATCAAAATGTTGCTTTTTTTTTTAAACTTACCTATATTCAAGAATGCTTGAAGCTAGAATAAAACTGATTTTTTTGTTTTTGTTTATAATTAGAGGCTCTGTTCTTTATTTTAATGTATTGCATGTTCAGATATTCATACAACAAAATATTCTGGAGGCCATGACATTTTGTGAAAATGATCAAAAATGCTGGCGGTGGCTGGCAACATTTTCAAAAACGGGAAAAGAGTTAATAGGACTGAACGGGAATCATTAAAGGGTTCATATGATGCTGCTAAAAAGAACATTATTTTGTGTATTTGGTGTAATGAAATGTGTTTATGCGGTTTAAGGTGCAAAAAACACATTATTTTCCACATACTGTACATTATTGTTTCTCCTCTATGCCCCGCCTTTCTGAAATGCGTCGATTTTTACAAAGCTCATCGGTCTGAAAAAGCGAGGTGTGCTGTGATTGGCCAGCTATCCAGTGCGTTGTGAAACGAGGAGAATAACAACGTGCAGTAAACGGTAAAACTGCACTACAAACCAGTGTGTTCATAATTAAAATAATACATTAAAATAATATGATAAGTATTATTTTTCAATAACAAGCAGCAAAACGAACTGTTTTGTACAGCTAAAAATAGCTGGACGCAGATGAGACCGGAAGCTAGATCCATAGAATTTACAAATGGCCGCGCCCATTTTTACGCAAGAAAAAGGTGGATACTGTAGCAGCCTATATAAAAAATAACGGAACATTTTGACGTTCAAAGCTTTATGACGCCATTGAGCGCGTTTGAATAGAACTCGCGGGCTTTATAAAGCGAGGATTGTGGGTTTGTTGGTCAGTGAGATTTCACAGCGATGGGACTAAAGTGAGTCCGATGACGGTTGGCGAGGTGTACGATCAACATCCTAGTACACCCCCAAAACCCAGCACCAACACGGCTCTTCAACATCCTCATCCTCTTTTTATCTTTTAATAGACTACATCTTCAGCCGCTACACCATTGGTGATCAGCTGGGGAAAGGTGGATTTGGCGTGGTGTATGAAGGGAGACGTCTGGAGGAATTTCTTAAAGTGAGTTAATATAAATAATGCATTATCAAGCCATCAAATGTTTGTCCTGTCTCATCCTTTAATATAACTTATTTACAGGAAGTGCCTTTTTACTTTGTACCTCATTGAGATTGAACCACCAGATGCTGCTCGCTCAGAGACTGTTGTGGAATGGAGAGAATATGATACCAAATATCACAAAGTTGTATTCCTTTAAATGTATTTATATGTTAAAACCTTTAAAAGATGGTAAGACAAAGATGCAACATATTCCTCATTATTGATTTGATTTGTCTATATATCAACAGCAATAGCTGTTGTAGTAATAGCATATATATTGAAATGTATGGACATCATGGTATGGAATTCAAACACGGTAAGATATTATGGCTTCAGAAGAAGCTGTATGGACTGTTTTATGGTGTGTTTTTTACCTTTCATATCTTCTAGCTGAATGTCTTTATATGGAAGAATTAACCAGTGTTGGGGATAACGGATGACAAGTAACGCGAGTTACGTAATCAGATTACTTTTAAAGTAAAGTAATGTATGACTTTCCATAAAAAGTAACTAAGTAATGCAATTAGTTACTTTTTATGGAGTAACACAATATTGTAATGTATTACTTTTCCCCAACGCTAGAAATAGCTGGAATAATGTGGTAATAAAGTACGCTACTCTAAATTCAGCCACTGACTGGGCAGTGAACGTCTTCTGTTTCGGAGGAATCCATAGATGACAAGTGAGGACCCTTTTCATTGGCTGGGGTTTCTTTTCCATGCCTGATTAGAAATCATGCAATATTGCTTGTTGTTGTACTGTATATTGCGTCAAAATATGTGACTTAATTAAGTGACATATATAACCAAAGCCAAGACTTACAAGACGAATATTAATATTGCCACTTTATGTAAAGATAGTTTCACTCTCAAGTAGATCTTTTTATTTTGTTGGTCATTCTAGAGATTTACACAGGTATTTGTTTTACTGGAAATGTGGACTACAGAACATTAAATTAAACAGTGTTTTTAATGCTCCTCAGATTCTTTTTATTTTTGTATTTTCCAGCACTGCGGAGAGGACGAACTGGTATTACCTGATTTTGCACATACTGATCTTGATGATCTAACATCCTCTGCATGCAGCAGGCTTCACTTTTCATACTTGACAGCATAGCATTTTACCTAATTGCTAAGACATTTTATATGGTCACAGTACTGATTAACTTCAAAACACAAGGAATATAGGCTACACCTTTTCAAACTAATTTAAGTATAAGAATATTAAAATAAAAATCTCAAATTGATGATAAAGATTAATTTGTGCTTCTTGTTGCAGTTCAGTTGAACACGTGTATGTACTGGGTATGCATATATCATGCATGCATATAAATAAATACATAAAGGATGTGTAGTCTGTGTCATGGAAATGTAAAAAAAAAAAAAAAAAAGTGCAATAAACAATTTTGATCAATTATTTAGCTTAACTGTGTTTTGTATTTTAATGTGCAAAAAACTTGTCTTCATGTCCGATCAGCTGGATCATATGTCCGCATACTTGTGCAGTCATTGACTGAATGAGTAAGAGCAGTATCCTGTTCCCTTGCTCTCAAATCCTTCTTCAAATGAACACACCCCTACGGTAAGCAAAGCGTCACGAGACTCGCTCGCGCACAGTGGGAAGCAGTCAAAGTTCGCGCGACGCGAACCGCACTATGGCGAAGAATAATCTCATGAATATTAAATAGGTCATATGCCGAACTTATTAAAAGTTACTTTTTTTTTAAATAATTAGGGATATTCGTATTCCATGTAGTCCCCTCCTCAGGGCTCTCCTGCATGAAAAGCCAAGCCGGCGACTTGGTCTGGGGCAAATCATGTGCCACAACTGGTTTAAGGTAGTGAACCCGAGACCAGCTAAAAAGAATTAATTTCTCATGGGAAGGAACCAAAAAGTCAAACCTGTTGTTTCTGTGGCGTCTCTGATGCAGCTTTGCGTCTTGTGGGGCGAGCAAACCTTGTGTAGCGTCTTGCGTCTTGGCTCGAGGAAGCAGTATTTGCATCTGGCGGTACTGCTTCCGGAGGGATGTGCAGGCTTCACTTTTCATACTTGACAGCATAGCATTTTACCTAATTGCTAAGACATTTTATATGGTCACAGTACTGATTAACTTCAAAACACAAGGAATATAGGCTACACCTTTTCAAACTAATTTAAGTATAAGAATATTAAAATAAAAATCTCAAATTGATGATAAAGATTAATTTGTGCTTCTTGTTGCAGTTCAGTTGAACACGTGTATGTACTGGGTATGCATATATCATGCATGCATATAAATAAATACATAAAGGATGTGTAGTCTGTGTCATGGAAATGTAAAAAAAAAAAAAAAAAAGGAAAT